ACACAATTCCTTAAAGGAGATAAAGTCCATCAACAGAAGACCGGCTATCTAATTGGTATTTCTGCAGAATGGAATATTATGTGAAGGTGAAGAAAAACAAGTTCTGTCTTGAAAAGACCCAGAACGCGCAGTTAACTGTTTTTGAAAGAAGAACCGAAAACCAAAACATACATGGTGATCGCACTGAGCAGTTTCCCTCTGCTGTCTGGGATTTTCTGAGACGCTTTGCACATGCCTGCTCTGTTTTGTTCCATTGGCGTTTAGTAAGAAATCAAAATGTTTTAAGAGAGGCTTTGAAAAGAAAACTAAAACATGAAGTGAGTAACAACAGCAGGAGCCGGCAGCAGCCCCCAAAGCAGAACAAAGGACACTCTTATCGAATGAGCAACAGGGACGAAAACATCTGTTTCCAATTTGATGGCTTGAAATGGATGTGGGTGTGGCGGCCTGGGCCCGGGCCAGTGCAAAGAGCTGATAGGAGGACATCTCCTCCCCAACACGAGGTTGACTCGAGGGAGCCCCAGATATCTCACTGACCGTTCTTTCTGTTAGAGAGTGGGGCGTGACTCAGGACATCAAGGGGAGCCCCTGACACAGGACAGTGTCAAAAGACAAAGTACCAGCGTGATGCAAATGAGTGAGGAGGCATGGCCTGCACCTTGCAGTCTGCACCCATGCTCTCATGCAGGGGTGGACATCAGAGTCCCCCGGTGTTGAGTGAGTCCGGCTTCTCACGAGCTGTGTGTGCCTCCCCGGTGACCAGGTTCATGTTGACTCCATCTGTCTTCCCCTACCTCAAATACCCACAATGGTAACACCGATGGAAGGTTCAGGCAGTAGAATAAGCGAGAACAAAGGGAAAAGTAACCTTAGGAGTTTGCAGGTCTTATAAGAGTTAAAGCCCTTATGTTTGGGGTTTTGTTTGCATGCTTGTTTTTGGTTTTGGAAACCAGGTCTCACTATGTAGCCCAGGCTGGCCTGGAACCCTCCATCCTCCTGTCTCAGATTTCTAAAAGCTGAAATTACAGTTATTCACCACCATGCCTGGCTTTGAAGTTATTTTTTACCAGTTATATAGGAGACAGAGGGCTGGAGAGATGGCTCAGCGGTTAAGAGCACTGATTGCTCTTCCAGAGGTTCTAGATTCAATTCCCAGCAACCACATGGTGGCTCACAACCATCTGTAATGAGATCTGGCACCCTCTTCTGACCTGCAGGTGTACATGCAGACAGAATACTGTATACATAATAAATAAATCTTAAAAGGGGGGGTGGGGAGACAGAACAGAAGCAATGCATTTCATGTAGTCCTAAAGCTCGAGACAGTTGGAGCAGAACCCTACAGGGGTGCTCATCACATGCACAGCCCTTTACCCTTCCCTGGCTCTGCCAGCTGTGTGCAGCATCTCCCTTAACCCTCACATACCCCTCCATCTCACTCTTCTGCTGCAGAAGACACTGGCATGCCCAAATCACAAGCTTCTAAGTGGTTTTTGAGCCAGGATTTGAACGCTCATCACCTGCTTCATTAAAATGGACCAACATAAGCTGGACATGGTAGCTCCCACCTTCCTGTGAGTTCAAGGCCAGCTGTCCTTGTGCAGTGGGCATAAACAGTACCTACCCCTCCTCCTGAGGTCCCAACATCAAACCGAGGTGCTAGTCTGCTAAAGCTCCTGCTGGGAGACTAGTGAGTTGCTTCCTTTCAGACAGGTGAGGGGTTACTTACAGGACTGTGGGTGCTGTGCTGAAAAGGTCAAGTCTTTACTCAGCAGGGATGATAGCAGTCCCTCTTTCTGGTAGCCACCTGGAAAAAGCCCCCCCTCTAGTCCCTCCCTATCTACAGCCTCTAGCTCCTCCCCCCAGCCTCTGGAGGAGACCTCTTGAATTAGGGCAGAATTGCATACAGCTGGGTGGCAGAGTGGCTGGCTACTCCGCTGTGGATTCCATTATGCTCCTCTCTGATCCTTCTTTGAGTGAAGGCAAGATGTCAACAAGCCCTGTCAACAGCTGTGATGACCGTCACCCAGCAGAACTCCTGAAGATGGAGGCAGTTTGGCTCCAAAGACTATCCTATACATCAGCAGCCTGTGCATGGAGTTACAGGCCAGCCAAGGGCACATAATGAGGTTCAGTCTCAAGACAGACAGACAGTTGATAGGCAGTGATAGGCAGACAGGTGATAGACAGATAGATGATAGAGAGAGAGAGAGAGAGAGAGAGAGAGAGAGAGAGAGAGAGAGAGAGAGAGAGAGAGAGAGCCATAGTATCTCCTGGAAGCCCAGCAGCATGACGTGCATTTTGATTTCCTAGGAATAAGCTCCCTTGAATGTTCTGGTGTGTGATCAGGTCTGCATTGCTCTTTGGTTATACCATCCACCTTCCACCTTCAGGGAATTTAAACTCTAATTGCAAACTAGGTGTGTAACTCAATCCCTGCCCGTAATCCCAGCACGTGGTGAGCAGAGGCAGGAAGATCAGGAATTCAAGGTCATTTGGGGCTCCGTCTTGAGCCTGAGGCCAACCTAAGCTATTTGAGACCTGTCCCCTGGATAAATAAATAATTAATTGATCAATCCAATATCTAAATGAGTATCGACCTTTGTTAAACGTGCTGGCGTTGCCACTGTGAGTAGTGAGTTAAAAATAAGGATCATCCTGTCTGCGATTTTACTAACGAACGTTAGGGCTTTAAAGAGACCCGATGCTTCACAAGGAAGCTCTCCCACCCTGGCCGTTTTCAGCCACACTCTCACAGGGAAGAGGTGATGCTTTGCCCCTTTATACCGAAGGTGAAGGTGAGGTCTGAGAATTTTGCGTGTCCTCTGACGTGGTGTTCCTGATGGTCGGAGAGCTAGCGTGAAAGCGCCGGAATCTAATCCCAGGTGGAATGCTCACACCCTCCACTTCACAGCACAGCCTCAAGAACACGCTAATTGCCGAAATAATATTTCTCCTATACAGTCTTCTACAACCCAAGTTCAACAGCACCACGAGTCCCGTCGGATCTCTCCACCTAGGATGTGCTGGTGAGTGCAAGTTTTTTATACTGAAAGCGAAAGCCATACCACAAGTATTAAATAAACATCGCTCCTCCTCACGACATTGTGTTGCTTTCTTTCTGAATGACTTTGAGGATAGGAATATGGCCACAGCCAGCCCTCTGGCGTGATCACCTGGGGGTGGGGGAAACCCAGTCCCCTGACAGCGATAAGAGGCTTGCTTGCTATTGTGACCCGCCCCAGCCTGTGTTGAGGCCCCACTCCGAGTGTTCCCCGCCCTCTCTGGAAAGACACAGCAAAAGATTCGGAGTCCCACGCAAAGTTACTTTGGGTAGAGCCACTGTGAGGTGTTTTTTGGCTTTAGATCAGCCATCCTTCTCCCGGCCCTGACACATTGTAGTGAAAAAACAGGCGACGGGAAGGGCCCTTGCCTCACACCAGACAAGACACGGCTCCGCTTCCACACACAGGGCGGCGAGTCTCAGACTCATGAGCAGGAGGTTAAGGGCTGAAGTCTGTAGTCCACCGCGGGGCCAAAGTCACAGCTGGCACAGAGGAGGAAGCGGTGTGGGAAATGTCCGTTTTGACTGGACGTGTGTTTGCCTGCGGGTCTGCGTGGTACGAGTGTGTGCAGCGCCTGTGACAGAGGAGTAGGTCGTACCTCCGGAAACCGGAGTTCCAGGAGGTTGCAAGCCTCCACAGGGGTGCTGGCAACCTGCAAGAGCAGCAAGAGCCCTTGGTTGCTGAGCCATCTCTCGAACCCTGGTCACTGCGAGTGAAAAGGTGAAATGTCTTTTTGGCATGCAGGCAGCAGGCCACCACGTCACACCCAGTCCATGTTAAATGACACTTCCTAACTAATTACCCTCTCACACACCAGAGTTCTTCAGGTCTCGGTGATGCTTATCAACTGAAGGGGAAGAGGGGCCCTCAGCACTGAGGAAGGAAAGCCAGCTTGAAAGTCGGGTGAATGAACGCACAGTGGCTTTTTTAGGGTGTCTGGGGCCTCTGTGAGCAGCTGGAAGGCAGTCCTCAGTCACTGTGAACAGAGCTCAGAGTGCAGGGTGGGTTCATATCAGGCAAGACACTCCTCAGAGGAATGCAGACCTTTGTGTATTGAGTGCTGGTTTGTGTGTGTGTGTGTGTGTGTGTGTGTGTGTGTGTGTGTGTGTGTGTGTGTGTGTTTATATGTGTGTGTGTTTATGTGTTTTACCTGTGTGTATGTGTGTTTACGTGTTTGTGTGTGTTTAATGTGTTTCTGTGTGTGTGTTTATATGTGTATGTGTGTGTTTGTGCATGTGTTTATGTATGTGTGTTTATGTGTTTCTGTGTTTGTGTGTATGTTTATGTGTTTCTCTGTGTGTGTGTGTGTGTGTGTGTGTGTGTGTGTGTTCAGGCCATTGATCAATGTCAAGTGTCTTCCTCAATCATTCTCCACTTTATTTTTTGAGACATAGTCTCCCACTTGGGAGAATGTTCCTTAAATCCCATGTGTCGATGTATCATTCCCAGCCTGTTACGAACTGGAAGGTGCTAGAAATATTAAGAGGTGGGGCCTACAGATTCCCCCAGCTCTGGGGTAAGCCAGTCAAGCAAAGAGTGAGGACGTGGCTCCCCTCCTCTTTTTGCCTCCCAGCTATGAGGTGAGAAGTGATTCGGCACCACCACAGACTCCCAGCATGATGTACTGTCTCATCCGCAGGCTCCCAGACAGCAGGGCCCATTGTTCATGGACCAGAACCTCCAAAACTCCTACCCGAGATGAGACAGGGTCTCTCTACAAGTTGACTATCTCAGGTACCTGTTACAGTGATGGAAAACCAATAAACAAGGCCTGTGGTGCTGCAAGAGGTGATGGGGAGCCGGAGTATAAAAACACTAGGCAGGCCCCGGTTGTGAAAACCAGACGTGGGTGTTATTAAGCAATGAATTAGCCACCCCACCCCACCCCCAAAAAAAGCCCGAATTAGCCACCACAAATGACAAAGACTCCACAAGTTCAGCTGCTTCACATTGTCTGTTTAATTCCACAAAAACAATTCATTTACAGCACCATTGAACATTTTCCACCTGCAGCAGGTAAGTATATGTACATCGTTGTGGGGGGGTTCACGTGCAATTAGCAAGGAGTTACTGAAACTCTTCACCTTAACCTTTCAACAATCCCCCCACCCCCAAAAATGTGATAGTTATACGTTGGCAGACGTGCCCTTGAGAATAAAAGGAGGATTTTAAGCAACAAAACTCCACTATACTGTAACATAACCTCAGGCCTCCAGAAGGGATGGCTCTCCCTTGACAATCACTTTTTCTAGATTATACTCATTACATTTCAGAGTAGGTTCAGTGCCTGGCCCGAAGGCGCCTGTCCTTCTAACTTAGCTAAGAAAGTTCCATGTAAATAAAAAGGGTCTGGGGTGGGGTGCTTAGGGGAGAGGAAGTGTCGGGAAACAACAGAGCTGCTCCAAATTCTAAGAACATTTTATACATTGAGGATTCTTGTCTGACACAAGTTCTGTTTAAGAAACTCGCCGGGCGGCGCACGCCTTTAATCCCAGCACTCGGGAGGCAGAGCCAGGCGGATCTCTGTGAGTTCGAGGCCAGCCTGGACTACCAAGTGAGTTCCAGGAAAGGCACAAAGCTACACAGAGAAACCCTGTCTCGAAAAACCAAAAAAAAAAAGAAAAAAAAAAAAAAAGAAACTCCTTTCCTGGCTGGCTTGATAACCTCGTTCCCACTCAAGGTCACTCGACTGGAAATAAGCTCAGAAGCACAAAAAGGTGACAGAAGGTCACGCAAGGACAGAGCGATAGAGAAGGCTCACCATCAGCCAGTGATCTCTAACGAAATGCAAAGCCCAAATCAAAGTGTGACCAAACTGAAACCTCATGTAGAAAGGCTAGCCTCGAACTCACTGAGGATAACTTGAACTGCTTGGCTTGGGTTACCACGTGCTTGGCTCTTGGGGTGGTTCAACCGTTGAGTGGATGCCCACGCAGCAAGGCTCTGGCTTCTAGCCTCGGCACAACAAATGAAATACATTTTAAAGTATTGCTTGTAAACAGTAAATCCTGCTGGGTGGTGGTGGCGCATGCCTTTAATCCCAGCACTTGGGAGGCAGAGGCAGGTGGATCTCTGTGAGATTGAGGCCAGCCTGGTCTACAGACCGAGATCCAGGACAGGAACCAAAACTACACAGAGAAACCCTGTCTTGAAAAAACCAAAAACAAACAAACAAAAAAAAAAACAACAGTGAATCCTAATCCAAGTGTGGTGGTGAATGCCTATAACCCCTGGATTCAGGAGGTTAAGGCTGTGGGATGGAGAGTTTGGGGCCAGTCTGGGAGACAGGGTAGTGAATTCTGCCGAATGGATGATACTAAAAACATTGCTGGGCTTGGGATGGGAGAGGGTTCCATCAGTACTGTTCAAACACAGTTACACCTAGTAGCTTAGAAGGAGGAAGGAACACAAAACTTCTCCCCAGGGAATGTCTAGAGGAATTCTTAGTTGTCATAAGTTAGGGAGATGATTTGGGATTTGGGATTAGAAGCCAATAATGCTACTAAATAACATGCAATACCTAAGATGGTCTGGAACACCCAACTCAGAATGCCAGCGTGTCAAGGTGGAGACACCCTGACAAAGACAAACACGCACTCCATTGAATCTTGGAGTGCCTAATTTACAGGGCGTGTGTGTGTGTGTGTGTGTGTGTGTGTGTGTGTGTGTGTGTGTGCCCTGTGGGTGTTTGAATAACCAAATGTCAAGAAACAAAGATCCCAATTTTTAAAATTGAGATTAGAAGATAGGAAATGAAACAAAGGGATCGGTTCCTATAACTGGTGCTGAAGTGTGCTGGAAGAAGGAAGTGATGTGTTATCCATAGAGAACCAAAGACGGGAGAGCTAGGAAAATACCCGAAGGAGAGCAGACAAGTCGGCATGCAGGACACCTAGTCCTGACGCCCCACAGAGGGTGTAATGCATGTTATAAAGAAGTCTGTGAGGTTGGGGCTACAGCTCCAGAGTCGAGCGTTTGCCTGGAAACCTTGAAGGCCCTGACATTGGTGGTCACCACCACTTTAGGGGGGAAATGAAGAAGACAAGCAGGATGGAAGGAAGAGCAGGCAGGAGGGTTGGAGCTGGGGGTTCTAGGAGCAACCTGAGCATGCAGGAACACGAACTGAGTGTCACTGTTTACCTAAGCTCAAAGAAAGTGTGTTGTCTTGTCCACCAGATGCATCATCTGATTGCTGATTCGGGAGGGAAAAATATCATGCACTGCCCTCAGATAATTAAAAAAACAAGACAATCAATGGTCCGGGAAACCCTAAGCAAAAACACCAAACATCCAGGGCTGGTGGTGTTGAATACAATCATGTAGCAGAAACATTGCATCCTCTTGACTTGTTTGCACATTATTAAATGCACTTTCGGCTGTCTTCAAAAAGCCATATTTCATACTGGCTTCTGTCTATATTTGCTATGCAAGCATCAATCAAGATCGTTTTCTCAGGTTAGGTTTAATTACGTCAGAATTAAATGTATTTTCTTTCCAGAAAAATACTTCAGAGATTAAAGATTGTTATTTACATGCTAACTAGAATACATTCCTTTAGCTAGTAGCAGGAAAGCTGTAAAATTTTAGTTTCTCCTTTAATAATAAGGCAGTGATAGGAATTCAGATTTTTAAGTTAGAGACAAATTTCTACTTTGGCTTCAGCTAAGGCATTAAACAGTGTTTATGTGGAGGAATTTGCTCACCCATCACCATGCTGGGTTCCTAGGGAATCCACTAGCCTGTTATGTTTGATGCCCAAAGTAGAAATTTTGTCTTTGCTCCTAGCTTATAAAGTGCATACAATCTAACACAAAAACTTCTGGGAATTAGAAAGGTTTTATACAGTTTTCTATTTACTTAAGGATGGTTGATCTAACCAACTTAAAAGGAATAAAGAATTTCCTATATTCCTGACCATAGCTGCCCAACAACCTCTAAATTTAAGACTAATAGCTAAAAAACAAGCAAACAAACAAAAAACTGAGTCTCACTATTTTGCCTGGACTCCTAGGTTCAAGTGACTTTCCCTCCTCAACTTCCTGAGTAGCTGGGGCTACAGGCATATGCCACTACACCCAGGAAAGACAGTTTCTTTAAAATGGTGTTTGCACTGAAAACTCTGGGTGCCGTTTCTGTGACCATTCACCACTTCTGATGAGTCCTGTGTAGTTTCTCAATACGACCAAAGCTGACAGCCTAGGACAAGATAACTTTCCACCAGCCTTGGAGCTTGTCAAACTCCGTGCTGGCTCCCTCAGTCAGGCATCCCCATGTCATACCTATGAGGCTTTGATTAAACAAGGATGCCCAAACAAGGTAAGGTGTTAAACACATGACAGACATTTCTGCACTTTCTCCTACCAATACAGTTCCGTTATGTGTCTGAATCAGATCATAAACAATTTATTTGAACTTGGTAACGTGGGTCACAGACATAAAACTCTAAGTGCCATCAAACACATTAAAAGCAGCAATCAAATTACTTTTCATTTCTCGATTGGATACAACTTTTCCATACAGTTACTAGTTGGCAACTATAATAAATACTTTAAAATATACCAAATTAAAGCAAAGGCAGGCTAGCTTATTCATTAAGCAGGAATGAATATTTTCCTGTCCCTGGAATATTCATCTCCCCCTGGTCAATACTACATGGATCAATGTGATCGTAAAGAGAAGACTGTGGGGAAATCCGGACAAAAAAATCATTATCAGAACAACAAGCGCCAACAATCCTACCTGGAGACTCTCAGAAATGGTAAATAAGTAAATAAGAAAGTAGAAGTCTGTCCCCACACTTCTGAGTGTAATGAATGTGTTACATGATTAAACATTGGCAACACACCACAGCTCAGCTTAGCTCCCAGCAGAAAGTAAACGGTAGCCACCTCACACCTCACAGAATGAAGAGATGGTCCAGAACCTACTTTCCCCTCCACCCCAGTAAAGTCTACCTCCTCTAATGTGTTGAGAGCATTTTCTGCCTTAAGAGGCTTTCTGTTTGTGCACCTTAACAACTAAGCATTTTGCATTTTTTATTAGGTGTCTGTTTCTCATGGTCCAAGAATGGACCTAACAATATATATTTCTGAAGTGCCACAGATAGCTGACTTCCATCTTTTATGATCTTTGAGGGGAAGAGAGGAAAACATAGTTCATGTGCCTCAATTTTTTTCCTACCCATTTAAGCTTTGAGCTCATTTGAGAGTCAGCTAGAAATTCTAAACACTTTAAAAACAAGGGCCATGGTGAATCTCTGTAACAGAGCAGTTCCTTAGTACACATGAGCCCTGTGTTCAATTCCCCAGCACCACAAGACAAGACTGAGTTTGAGTCCTGTGCCATGGTTACTGAGTCCCAGCCTTCAATATCCCTGATACACACGCGAGTGAAGTTTGCTTGAGGAAACCCACGTTCACGCTAAAATTGTTGCAGGGAAGCATGAGACGCCCAGGGTAATGGAAAGGGGTGACCACATGAAAATCAGCAGGCTTGTTCCACGAACATCCCAAACATCTGACCCCTACTGACAGGGTACACACCAACAAAGCTCTTTCCACAAGCAGAGCTGGTGACCCAAAGTGCCTGTCCAGACAGTCTGGTTTTGTGTGGAAACCCACTAAAAATGAGTACTGTTTTCATAGTGATGTTCCTCTTGAGTCTTGCTAAGAGTCTGTCCCTGTTCCCTTGGACCGCCATCCGAAGCCATATCAATGGCCACTTCCTGAGCATCTAGATGGGGTCCACCATTGTGCTCTGCACAGCCATTGACGAGAGCCAGTGGCAGCACCCCCGGGGGACAGCACAGTTTCTTGGCACAGCTCTGGGAGATGCAGGGGGCACTGCAGGTCAGCAAGAAGTCCTTCTGCTCCAGGGCTTCCTTCAAGTCCACCATTTCAAACTGGACGGTCACACTGTGGATTCCAGCATGGTGAAAGATCTCTCGGATTTTTCTGCTGGCATCCTGGTACTCCGTGCCCTTCTGGTACTTGACATGCAGGGTAGCGATGATCTTCCCACTTATCAGTTCCCAGATGTGCACTTCGTGAACACTGCTAATTCCAGGCACGCTAGAGAGCTTGCTCACTACAACAGACAGGAGCAGACAAGAGCCAATGGTGAGTGCTGAAATAGAAGCCTGAGAGGGGCCTGCCTGCCTAACCATGCCCACCAAGGCTGTGTGTTTATCACAGCCCACAGAAGAAGAACTGTCCCTCAAGGGTTCATTTGCCCATAACCACCCTTCCCTCTGATTTTCTACACCACACAGTGTTAGCCTATAAGTAACTCAAGAGCCTGAGGCAAAAAGATTGCAAGTTCAAGACCAGTAAGTTCTGAAGCAGCCTGGGCTACATGTGCACAGTCTGTTCCAAGCTAGCCTGCTCTACATAGCAAGTTCCATGCCAGTCAGGTCAACATAGGGAGACCCTATCTCAGTTTAGATAGATAGATAGATAGATAAATAGATAGATAGATAGATAGATAGATAGATAGATAAATAGATAGATCTTACATACATACATACATACATACATACATAGACAAATAGATGATAGTTAAATAGACAAGAGATACATAGATTATAGATAGATGAGTGATAAATAGGTAATTGATAGATGATAAATAGATATGTAGATGATACAGAGATAAATAGATATATAGATGAAATTGATTGATAGATCAATAGTTGAACAGATGATAGAGATAGGTAGGTATGTAGATAGATGATAGATAGATAGACAGACAGACAGATAGATAGATAGGCAGACAGGCAGACAGACAGCAAGATGGGCTAGTTTAGCAGCATGGATCATAAGCACTTACCAGAATGCTACTTCTAAGCACATATTCAAAGTCTCTGAAACCTTTCACCTCTGAGGCACATAACTGAGGGGAGACTCTGACTTCTATCTGAGCAAAGAAAACAAGAAGACTTCACTCTAGACCGAGGAGGGGCCCTTTAACACGGCCTTTTTACAGTGTAATGTGCCACCAAGTAACTTCCCAACCCATGAATGTCAACTATCTGAAAGGCATTATCTATACCATGAATGACTCATCTTTTGCGGGGAGGAGGAAGGTATAAAGGTATATATTAAAAAGAGGGTAAAAAAAAAATCTAGGTCTTGCAGAGTGGCTTTAGTAGAATTAAAACACATCCTTGTCGTGAGGTCAAACCACCCAGCAGTGCATTTTGACCAATCTTTACATTCTCAGAATCGTGCTACAAAGCACCTTTGGTTCTTGGAGCTGTGAATTATCATCCCAGTCTGTAAGACACATGAAGCATGCCTCTATCACATGAAGATCTAGGGTGCTTCAGAAAACACCAATCAAGCACTGTTCTGTGATCATAACCCTCTGGATCAAGCGATGTTAAAGCGTTGGTGGTCCCCGTGTGCATGCAGTCTACTTACTGAGCTCTTCCATGTTAACTCCCTTGGGGACCATCTGCAACAGGATGACAGCAGTCTCCTTGATCAGTGGGAAAGCAGATGACAAAATAATGATGACCATGATAACAGTCAAACTGGGGTCAATGTAGCATTGCCAATTACACGGGTCTTCACTTCTCAGGGGATGGACATAGAATATGATGGCCGTGATGACCACGACCACGGACCCCAAGGCATCTCCCATCACATGCAAGAGAACACCTGTCAGGAAGGAAGGCAGACCAGTGAATCCCAGAGCCAAGTGTTGGAGCCATATGATGACCGGTGATCTGAGCTCACAGATGTTCACTTTTTGTTAGAGCACTGAATAGGTCAGAATTTTAAAAAAAAAAAAAAACAAGCCCAGTATGTGATATACACCTATAATCTCAGCATTTGGAAGGCTGAGGCAGGAGGACAGTCTAGGCTATAGAGTGAGACCATCTTAAACAAAATAACAATAGCAACGACTCAGAAAGCAAAATCTCAGGCCAGGGCCATGTGATGGTTCAAGCTAATGGGGGCACCTGTTACCTGGGGTTGGTCCCCAGGACCCATGTGGTAGCGTAGGATGGCCTGTGGCCTCTAACTTCCACATGCATACCCATACATTCTCTCTCTCTCTCTCTCTCTCTCTCTCTCTCTCTCTCTCTCTCTCTCTCACACACACACACACACACACACACACATACACACACACAAATGTAATGAAAATTATTTTAAAGGTAAATGATATAAATATATTTTAATTTCAAAAACTTTTTTTTTTGAGACAGGGTTTCTCTGTGCAGTTTTGGTGCCTGTCCTGAATCTCGCTCTGTAGACCAGGCTGGCCTTGAACTCACAAAGATCTGCCTGGTTCTGCCTCCCAAGTGCTGGGATTAAAGGCGTGTGCTGCCACCACCCAGCTTCAAAAACATTTTTTTTTTAATTAAAAAGAAAGAAACAAAGAAAAATAAACCCAGGACCCAGACAGCCCAGGAAGAGGAACAACCTAGGAAGAACCTGGGCTAGCTGTCACTCACTGTGCCACCAGCCAATACTGCCACATCACTATCCCCCACCACCCATCAAAGGGCATCATGATGGGAAACAGAGCTGAGCAAATGATGTGTTGTTCTTTCAGACAAGCATCTGTACATAAAATTCTTTTAAACTTTTGTTTTATTTTGTATTAGAGAAAAAGTCTCACGGTGTAGCCCAGGCTGGCCTCCAACTCCAAATCTTCCAGCTTCGGCATCCCAGTGCTGGGACTGAGGCATGCCTCACGGTTTCAAAGTTTGCGTCCTTATTACACTCCATGAGACCGGTATGTGGAGGGTCCCTCTGAGTCCCTTATGAGCTCAGCATGATGGAGGTCCCATCATCTTTTCTTGATGTTTTTATGGTTACAGTGGCGGGGATGGAGCCCAGCATCTCACCCATGCCAGGCAAGCATTCTGCCTCTGGAGTACAGTTTCAGACAGAACTATGAACATCAAGAGTGGTACTTTTGGGTCTCTGGCTTCCCTCAGCCCTAATCCATTCCCCCTTTTCGTGGTGCTCAGTTTAAGAAGGCCTAAACAGCAAGGACGCTGATGAAGTTTCCTCTGAATAAAAAGTCATTTGTCACAATCACGTAAAATTAAAACTCTATGTGTAAGGGTTAAAGCTGTATGTTCTAAAGGTCTCAGCCAATTAATTGCAGAAAGTCTTCAATCTTCAGCAAAGAAGATCTGGGCTGTGGATTAAGTTAGAATTCAGGAAATTCAGTGAAAATCTGGTCAGAGGGATTAAAAATAGAGACACAAAGTATTTGCGTTCCTGAAAGGAACACCAGAATCCTGCTCCTCGAAATCAGAGCAGCAGCAGCGGCAGAAGCGGAAGAACTTGTTAGAAACAGTCTCAATCTCACGTGGGTCCTGTCTAGATCTGAGAAAGGGGTGTCATTCACATGACCCAGCACACCCCACAAAATCACACCAAAAAAGAACTTTAAATCACCAGGTTGACATTAAGGACACCTGTCAACAGAACATGCTGATGGTTCAGAGACAAAGGTCCCTGCTGCCAAGCCTGATGACTGAAGTTCGATCCCCCAGACCGGCGTGGTAGAAAGAAGGAGCAACCTGACTCCTGCAAGTCGTCCTCTGACCTCTACACATGTACACATGTACATTCATATAATATATTTATTATACATGCAATAAATAAATATGACTTTTTTAAAAGATCACCTGTGTCTGGGCATGATGGTATCCACCTACAATCTAACTACCCAGAAGGCTGAGGCTGAAGGATGGAAAATTCAGGGTCAGGTTGGACGACATGGAGATTTTCAGGCCAGCCTGGGCTACAAAGAGACTTCCAGGCCTCTTTAGGCCACATACTAAGACTCTGTCTCAGAAAAACATAACAAAAGTTTAAAAAACTATGAAACTGCCCTGGCCATAAAGGCGGAGAAAAGGCCACCCAGCACCTGATACTTTACAGAAGCAGTGGGGGACCCCAGCAGGACAGTGTTGGAGGTAGGAGGTGTGTCAGGCCAACAGTGCTGCTGGACACAGGGTATTTGGCCCTAAAAGAGGGTGTGGTGGAACATGCCTTTAATTCCAGAAATGTGGAAGCATGGGCAGACAGATATCTGTGAGTTACAGGCCAGCCAAGGTTACATAAGAAGACCCAGTATAAAATAAAATAGAGTGTTGAATTTCTGTTATATATGATCAGAAATACAGGGAGCAAAACCAGCCAACGAAGTCATCGAGAGAACCAGTAAGCTTGAGCATTTAGATGGAGACTCTGGTCAGGGTGCATGAACTTCGAGAGCTCATAGTGGGATTAAAATACACCCAGTATGCCCACCCACTCACCACCAGCAGCAGCAGCAAGCCAGTCCTCATGGGAAGGAAGGAGCTAAACTTGAAGAAATCAGTCTCTTAGAAGAGACAGAAACAAAACACACGGCACAGGAATGAACCTCACGTCCAACAGTGCTAACAGAAACCAGAGGAAAAGGAGAGGCAGGAGGGAGCCCCACCCCTCAAGGTCCACCTGAGATTCCCTCTCCACTCTACAAAGGGGGACATTGAGGCACTGAACGGCTAAGCCACTTGACCAAGATCACACAACCACCAAAGCCAAGTGAGCATTTGAACAAGATTGCCTGGGTGATTTGAATGCACATAGATGTTGTTAAAGAACTGTTCTAGAAGAAAATATATAGTTAATGAAGGTCTGCCTGGTCACCCCAGCTATCCAAAAGGTTCACTCAGTAGAACTGGTAATGATTTCAATTGCTAATTGCTCGCTCATGGATGAGACTTGAATAGTCTGACCTGGAAGGTATTTGAATTGAGCTGCTCACACATCCTAGCCTCTGAGGGACACCCTTGGTAAATGGCATTGTCCCCATGCCTTTTATGGAGTGGTTACTTAAAGCAACAGGACACTGATTCAATATATACATGAGACAGTCCCACTTTCTAGATCTCTGTCTCCCATCCTCCCCAGCCCCTGTTCCCAGCCACAGGAAAGAAATTCAGAACCTTCCCAGAAGGTTGCCCTACCCACCTGTTCCCCTGACACAAGCTAAGGAAGCCTTTGCTTTCTTGGTGACAGGACCAAATGTTACTATCCAAAGAGGAAAACCTACTGTCTCCTCCTCATTCTTAGTGTCCCTATCTCAGGACTCTTAGCCTCATTTAAATGTGATGGGGGTCACACCCTCACTTCCTAGGGGCCGACAGTGGAGGCTCAAAGACACACAGGTAGAGGGAAAAGTCTGAGCAGCAGCTTGGGCCTATAAGCCCAGCACTCGGGACTTTAAGGAGAATCCCGGCTAGCTGCAAGACCAACCTGGACTACAGAATGCGACTCTCTTGAGAACGGCCACAGCAGAGCATGAGGGGAGGATGGATGCCTCCAAGTCTGGATAGAGGGCTGCTGCATCCTGTCCTACACAAGTTTCAGTTCCCACCCCAGGTTTCCCACGCTTGGCCACTGAGAATCCCACACAACAGTGGCTCCCACACTTCTGGTCCCCACAGGCTACACTAAAAGTTTTGAGTTGCATCCCAGCACACATGGAGATACAAGCTGAAGCAAAAAAATAAACAAACCCCATCCTTCTGATGTATTTCTCTTTTCTATTCTGTTTCAGTCCATCCTAATGGTGTCTAAACTCTGCTAAGCAGAATTAGGGCCCAAACTATCATGATTCAGCTGATTTAAAAAAAAAAAAAAAGCTGTGGATGGGGTAAAGATTCTAAGTGAAGAGTGTGTATGTAGCATGCACAAAGCCATAGGTTCAAGCCCCAGCACCAACAATACAACACAACTGTTGAAATCATTAACACTAAATGTACCCCCTCATCTCTCCGTATACACATAAAATGTATCTTCAGTGCTGGGATAGAACTCAGGATCTACAGCAATCTAGGCGAACACCCTACCACAAAGCTACACCCCCACCTGCTAACATCTTGTTTCCTAGTCAGACAAAGTGTGAAGAAGGAGTGTCCACTGTCCTGAGAACACAGTTCCCTGGCAAGATGGGAAGACAAAGTTTCATTTTAACTGATAAATAAAACATTGAACATGCTGAGGACTGTTTTGACTTGTTTGGGGGAAATGCTGGTTTGGGTCATTTCTCTCCTTTATCTGTTTTGACACAGGGCCTCACTGGATTGTCGGGGTGGCCTCCAGTTCATGCTTCTGGAGTGCTCAGGTGACGGTTCCGTACCACTAAAGCCAAGCTCCCTGTGCTATATTCTGATACATGTACATACTATGCAACATTAAGTCAAATATCTACTTCTCTGAACCCTTCTTTCTTTTCCCTTTCTTTATGATAAAAATAAAAAAAAATACTCCAAGCCTTTTCTTCTAGCTTTTTTGAAGGGTACAGTAGTACCTGACTGCTGTCACAGTCGCCCACTGAGTGAAGGCACACAGGCCAGACTCCGAGCTGGGTGTGTCAGGGACATTTTGGGGAAGGGGGGTTTTCCTGATGAGAACACTGTGGAGTGAAGGGGGGTTCCTGAGGAGGAGAGGGAGTGCAGGAGGCAGTCCCAGGAGAACACTGTCACACGGGCAGGATTCCAGGGACGCTGTGAGTGGAAGATGCCTTATGGGGAAGAGACAGGTAGCCTCTGCTACTTTCTAGTTTGGTGACTCTGGTTGATTGCCCTGCCCCCCACCAGCTGCCTGCAGTGGCATACACCTACAGTGTTGTGGTGAGGCTCCCATGCACCCTGGTGTGAACAGAGGACTCAACAGTTGGTACCCATCTGATCTCCACACATCAGCGTCACATGAGTGCTACACTTGCAGCTTATTTTAACTGGTTATGATTTGTTTGTTTTTTCCACCTTTAGCAAAATCACAGTCAACACCAAGCATAGTGGTAAATATGCTGTAATTCCAGCAGTGAGGGGGCTAAGAAAGGAGAATTGCCACAAGTTCACGGTCAACCTGTGCTCCATATTGAGTACCAGGCCAGCCATGGCTATATAAGAGTACCCTGTCTCAAAACAAACAAATCATAGCCAGTTAAAATAAGCTGCAATGAGGCTTTGGGTATGGACCAAAGGTACAGCATGTGTTTAACATGTACAAGGCCCTGGGTTCCATCCCCAGCATATCACACACACACACACACACACACACACACACACACACACACACACACACACTCTTCTTAAATAAATAGGATACATTTTATGTCAGTAGTATTCGTGAAAGTAGAAAACCAAGTATAGCAGTCATGTGACACTGATGTGTGGAGATGAGATCAGACCAACCTGTCCCTGAGTGGTAGAATTCATGAGAACATGATGCTGATGTATGGGAATCAGGAGAACAAGACATATGTGAAGATCAGCAGAACATGACACATGTGTGAAGATCAGCAGAACATGACACTCATACATGGACATCAGGAGACACGACACTGATATATGGAGATCAGTAGAACATGACATCGATGTATAGGGATTAGGAGAACTTGATACATATGGTGATTTAAGAAGATCATGACATATACGTAGAGGTTAGAAGAACATTGTATTGCTATGTGGGGATCAGGAGAACATTTCACTGATAATGTGGAGGTCAAGAGAACATGCTGTGACTGATGTGTGGATATCAGGAGAACATGTTACATGTGTGGATATGAGAATAACATGACACATGGAAGTCAAGAGAACATGTCCTTGATATGTGGGATCAGGAGAACATGATACATATATCGAGCTCAGGAGAACAATTCACTGGTAATGTGGAGGTCAGGAGACCTGGACACTCATGTCTGGTACTCAGTGAGATGCAACACTCTTATGTGGAACTTAGGATACCATGACACTGACATGTGGGGATTAGTGGAACATGACACTATGTGTAACCCAGAAGAACATGCAGCAGGCAGCTGTGGTGTGGCTTAATTAGAGCAAAGATAAATCATTAGCAACTAGTTTTTCCCTCAGAATCAATGCAATGATTAGGCAAGAGAAGAGGGTCATAGTCTGCAGGTAACTGACCTACTTTCCATCAAACTGTTGCCTTACTAAAGCCGGACAGAAGTCACCATTGCAGCACAGCACCATGAACTACGGGGAAGGGTCTGCAGTGAATCCAGAGACAACCTACCTCTGATGTTCAGTGCTTCAGACTTTTTCTCTTTTTTCATCATCTCCTCTGGCTCATTCTGGGTGTTCAGGGAATCACCTGCATTCAAAGAAGAAACCTTGTGTTGTGTATAAGTTCTACAAACAAAAAGAACCAGTGAACTCAAAATGCAGTTTGGTTATTTTCAATTCCTCTTAGCCTATGGGAGTCCCCACCTCTCCCACACTCAGCCCAGACAGGTGCCTGTCAACCCAGAGGAAGCCCGCGGTCCACCCTTGGACTTCACACACACACTTTTCAAATTTAAAACGGGACAAGTATAAGCCCACACCTATCCCCCAAATCCACACCACCCAAGGGGCAGAGGAGAGCCCTGACATTGATTTGTCAAGGGAGGAAACAGTCCAGATAGCACCAGGGGAGGGGAGGGATAGGGAGTGCTCTCTATTGCCCAATAGTAAGAATTGATTTCCAAGATCAATACTGCCACAAGGAGAGGGGAGAGGATAAGGACTGCGGGGTCAAGGAGGAAAGGAGGGAGGGAGAAATGGGGGAGAGGGGGAGAAAGAAGGCAGAGAAGGGAGAAGGGAGAGGAGGAGGGAGGGGAGGAAGGAAAGTTAAGAGGGGCAGAACAGGCTACCAAGAGGAGGTTTTTTTTTTTTTTTTTTTTTTTTTTAAATCTGTCAGGAAACAAAAGGAACAAGAGAGAGTGGATGAAAAAAAGGGACCAGATGCCTGGGGCAGGAGGGAGGATGGAGGGAAGGACAAAGCGGTCCCAGTCCGGAAGGATGCAACCGAAAGGCACCTGCTACATTTGAGAACACAGTCGCGCCCTCCTGCAGCTTTCTTCCGGCCGAGGCCCCCCGGAGAGTCACTACTGCATCTGAGCCGGGGGCCGTGGCTGCCGCAGCCCCTTGGGGGCTCCCCAAAGCGCCACAAGGGTCCCCCTGGGGCGGCGGTTGCGGAGGGCGGGTCCGGCGCCGGCGCCGCGTGCAGACCGCAAAGCAGGCTCCGCAGTCCTGGAAGATGAGCAGCCCCACCACGTTGACTGCCAGCCCCAGGGTGCCCACGATGAGCACCAGCTCGGGATCGTCGATGCGCTCGGGCCTCGCGAGGCGCAGCACGGCCTCCACGAAGATGGTGAAGCAGAGCGCGGTGAGGAAGACCGCGTTGCTGAGCGCGCCCACCACCTCGGCGCGAGCATAGCCGTAGGTGGCGCCGGAGCCGCGGGTACCACGCCGCGCGATGTAGCCCGAGCCCAGGCCCACGCACAGGGAGATCAGGTCAGACAGCATGTTGAACGAGTCCGAGAGCAGCGCGATGGAGTTGCCCAGGTACCCCGACACCAGCTCGGCCACGAAGAAGGCCACGGTGAGCACCAGCATGAACAGCAGCCGGCACGTCTTGCCAGAGTAGCGGCCCATCTCTGCAGCCCGCAGCGCCCCGCAACAGGTGGGGGGTCTAGAGCCCACCTCCCGCCGCAGGCCCGCCCTGCCTCGCCGGGGCCTTTTGTACAGCCAGCTCGCTCCCGCACGGCCAGAGTCGGCAGGAGTGGCCCCGGTATCGCAAAGGCCACCTCCCGGGGCCCCTGCCCCTCCTCCCTCGCCGCCCAAGCCTGACTTGGCAGGTGGCCACCGGCCTGTGTCTCCTTCTAGGACTGGGTTGGAGAGGAGAGCTGCTGGGAGGAGGGGCGCATCGGGATGCCAATCTTCTTAGATCCCCACCTCCGCCCTCACAGAGAGGCGGGATGGTCCCCCCCCCACCACCTCCTCCAGCTCTCCCCAACCCCACTCCGGGCCACCACAGATCTGTGAATGCCGCTGATAAGGACCTGGGCTGCAGTGGGAGTGATCACTGCACACCCGTGCCTACGTGCCCAGACGCGAGTTGCAGGGCAGATTCCATATGAGCTGGTGGGGCCAATTGCCCTTCAAGGCGTTTCCTGCTTTTTCCTTTGGTTAAATGGTATCTCATTCCTCACTTAACCCCCCATTCCTGCGCCCACCGTCAAGGCTCTTTATCCTCTCTTCCTCTTCACAAAGAGAGGATCCATTCTGTTACTCCCTCATGGCATAGTATTCCCCCTCTCCTCTTCGGGGGATCTCCATGTTGATCTTTCTGCAGAGGAGAGAAAGGCGGGCAGCCCCGGGGGCACGGCTGCCACACCACTGTAAGCATAAGCGTGGAGCGCTGGTGCAGCACCCCAAGGCCCGGACCCGGCGGAAGATACAAGTCCCTTGGTCATCGAAGAAGCCAGGCTTAGTCTCCTTTCCTAATATTCCGGAAAGAATTTCTACTGACTCCATAGATGACCCGATGTCCCTAGTTCAATTGATTGACCCAAATCGTTTCTTCCAAACAGGTCTGCTTCCAAATGACAGTCACTCCAAGGGAACGTGTCCAGGACATTCCACACAGCAGATCCTTCAGAAAGGTTGCTGTTGGTCACTTCAGCGGGAGGTGGGTGAGAAACCTTGTGCCTCACACTCATTTTATGAAGGGTCTGAAGGCTAAGCAGGGTAACCTCCTCCGTGTCTGCCCATAAGCTTTCACCACCCCACCAAGAAAAATGCAGTGGTTTGGAGCTTGAAAATGAATACAATGCCTCCCGCAAAACAAAGCCACCAGCAAGTCATAGTAGTGCAGGTCTTAACTCTACTGTTCTAGAGGGTTAGCTTGAGACTGGAATCCATTAGCAAAACATTTAACTTAAAAATAATTTGGGTTAAATTTGTTGCTACGGCTTACACAAATGGAGGCCAGAGGACAACTTTTGGGACTCGATTCTCTCCTTCCACGTGGTGGTTAGTCTCGAACTCGGATCATGAGGCTTGGTGCCAAACACCTTTGTCTGCTGAACCATCTTTCCAATCCCCCTTTTTTGGTTTTCTTTTGTGGCCTAAGCAGGGCTGCCTGTGTAACATTCTACCTTCCCGCCCCAATCATTGTCTTGATCTTAAAGTATGCTTCCATCTTTTTCTAAAGGTTCCGATCAATGGTATTAAAATATCCCTGATTTGAAGGTCCTACCTTATTACTAGATAAACCCCAAATGCAAGGAGCTTACTAATATTCCCTTTTTAGGCAGGCAGATGGCTTAAGCCTGTAATCCCAATATTTGGTAGGCTGAGGCTGGTGGACCACTGTGACAGGTCAACTGTGAGCTTGTCTTTAAATAAATAAATAATAAACAAACAAACGAATAAAAATTTTCTCCAGGAGAACTAGCTCTACACAAGAACTTGAGGAAATTCTCTAAATAACTAAATAAAGAGTTATCAATAATGTAGAAGAACTAAGAAGGTATAGACAATGAAAATTTTAAACTATAGAGGCTTTGGACAAGTTCCTTACTCATCTGGATCCGTTTTCATTACTGTAAAGTGGCACTGATGATTGTATAGTAAGGACTAAACAAACTAATGTGAAAAATGTTTGTAACGGTCCCAAGTATACAGGATGAACTCAACAAATGCTAGGATTATAATTGCTAGTGTGATTAGCAGTCATGCAGGACACATGTAATAGAATCACTACTGGTCAACAGATAAAATGCTACTCTTCACCAGAAATGTATCCAAGTACTCTTCCAGCATATACCCTACACTGTCATCAAAACATTTGATGTATGACCGCAAAAATGGAACTGAGAGTATAGTTCAGTGATACAGCACTTGCCTAGCACATTCAAGGCCCTGGGTTCAAGCCCCAGCACTAAAAAAACAACTGTCTGATGAGAGAGTGGGCCCTTTGGTAACTCACCTGACACGGCTAAAGTGTTCCTGGCTAATTGTATTTCTTGTTCATTCACAGCTGGGAGGGAAAAAAAAAAAGAAATCAGCAGAAACATATCTCTCCTGCCTCCTGGTTGGTTAGTCATTCTCTCAGCCAAGGGAAGATAAGAATTGTGTCACTGGCCCAGGAGCAATACATTAAGAAAAGCCAGAGGCTGAGGACCAGGAGGTGTCACAGATGTCTGATGTCCCTGTACTCAGCCAGTTCCTGACCACAAGGAGAGGTAAGTGTTCCAGATACTGCAATAAAATGCCCTGTAGAAAAGTGGGATGTGGATGTGGTGCTGTGTGTATGTGGCATGTTATGTACATGTTATGTTTGCATTAGGTGTGTGTGCACATGTACACTTGTGTGGTTAAGGCTGTCTTCCCTAATCAGTCCCACTTTGGAGGGCAAGGGGTGGGGAGAGAACAGAGTCTCTCATTGAACCCCAAACTCCCTGATGATTAGCTAGGCTGGCTGGCCGGGAGCTGTGGAGATCCACCTGTCTCCACTTCTCCACCACTGAGGTCACAGGATGGGCAGAATGTGCCCCACTTCTCACACAGTTGCTGGGGATTGAACTCGGGTCCTTGCTGACATTGCTGACTGGGTCATCTCCCCAGCCCCCAGAAAAGTGCTTTGACTAACTTACATTAAATGGCCTAAGTTCCTTGACAGACACAGGCCACCTTACAATTAATGTTTCAATAGCTTTTTATTTATTGAGCTCTGATTTGTATCTCTGGACCGAGCATTTTATAGGCGTTATCTCATTCCACCTCCCAGTAGCCTCACGCAGTATTGTGAACATATTAAATAATGTTTTATTACAAACTTTTATTTCTAAAGAAGTTGAAGCCTGGAGTTTTTAAGTCACCAGGCCAAGATTACACAATCTATAAATGACAGGTTGTGAGCACTGACCTAGGCGTAGAATGCCCAAAGCTTATTTTCTTCACTTATACCAGATTGATCTGTTTCAATCCTTTTGTTTTTACTTTGAGATAGGGTCTTGCTGTGTAGCCCAGGCTGGCTTCGAACTCAATCTTCCTGTCTTCGACTCCCAGTACTGGGATTACAAATTCCCTTTTTGAATGCCCCAAACTTGATGCATTACAGTTTGTAAATTCGGAGAAGATTATACTCAAAATTCTTCCTATGTTGGCATTTTGTTTTTACATATCAGTTTTAAAATGCGACTTTAAAAATAAATAAGGCAGCTAGTAAGATGGCTCAACAAAAATTTGGCATCAAGCCTGATGAATCCTGAGTTCAATCCTGGAAACCTACAAGGTGGAAGGAGAAAACTGATTCCCACAAGTTGTCCTCTCCGACCTCCACCTGAGCACCATGGCCTACACCCATGTGAATACAGAGAGAGAGAGAGAGAGAGAGAGAGAGAGAGAGAGAGAGAGAGAGAGAAATAAGTGTAAAATTTAAATTAAAAATAAATCAACCAATCATGGTCTTTGGAGTTGGGCTGATTGGAATTAAATCTGAGCTCTACTATTTGCTACAAGTCATGTGACCTGGACAAGGTCCTCACATCTTCTCCTTCCTCATTGGGGTCACAGTTGTAACAGCATCTAACTCATGGGGCTGTCGTGAGACTCACGTAGGGAAATGATAGTTCGTAAGGAAGGTCCACAGGTAAGTAAGTGTTCATGAGTAACCCCTCCGCTGAGCTTTGTAATCCAGCTGGAGGAGGTGGGTAGTTCCTTTCACCAAGGGACTCAGAGCTTTGAGTCTGTCTGATGCATTTGAGGGGCAGAGAGGCCAGGCTATCGGGGATCCTCTGTGTTATGAACACTGTATCTCTGATCTATGGTGACTTATAGAGAAACTTTAAATAATTGCTTTCAGCTTCACCTAAGAAGCAGGGAGATTTATATTAGCATTAAGTAAACAATTTCAGGGCTGGTGGGATGGCTCAGCAGCTAAAGGCCCTTCACAAGCGAGAGTGGTGATCTGAGTTCAATCTTTGGAGCAAAGGTAAATGTGGAAGGAGAGAAACAATTCCACCAACTGTCCTCTGACACTCACATGTATGCTATGGCTCCTGCACACACACGAGTACACACACACACACACACACACACACACACACACACACACACACACAAATAACTTAAAAACAAATAAGACATTTTGAAATCCCTGCAACGATAGGAAACAAATCATCAGAATGACAATACTCCCACAGATACAAAACGTGGAGCCCCATGTCACTGAACTCGCTCTGTAGCCCAGGCTGGCCTCAAACTCAGAGATCCGCCTGCCTCTGCCTCCCAAGTGCTGGGATTAAAGGTGTGCACCACCACTGCCCTGCTAAGACGTGTTTTTTTTTTTTTTTTTTTTTGAGGCATATATTTGTACAGGCACCAAGGACAACGAAGGGTTTTCCCTCAAAGTATTTCAGAATACACCAAATTTTAGAGGTTCTTCAGTTGATGTGGTGACTATTTTCATGACAGAAGTGTGGGATGTGAGCAAGGATAAAGCCAGGCAGCAGTCAGCACCACTCTGAACAGGTCACTGATAAAGCTGAAACAGTCCCTTGGCCTGTCCCCTGTTTAAAAGCAGAGAGCATCTACCTGGGATTCACTTGTGGTTACGAACACTGACTTTGGACTGTCGTCTCATCCCTCCTCTGGATAATAAGGGCAGTCCCAGAAAGCCACTATGATTAGTGAGTATTGCTTGTTAACTTGCAAGGGCCTGGAATGTTTGGGGGAATGCTTCATATGAGAAAGTATCTAGGTGGAGTTAACTGAGGTGGAAAGTCAGGCAGCGCCATCCCATGATCTGGGGTCCCGAACTGCTTAACAAGGAGAAAGTGAGCTGAGCACCAGCACCGAATTCTCTCTGATTCCTGACGGTGGGCTCAAAGCCCAGCTGCCTTACCTCCTGCCACAAGGCTTCTTCACCATGACACACTGCTCAAGGTCTCAGCCAAATCCAACCCTTCCTTCCCTAATATGATTTGGTCAGGTATTATTTACAGCAAAGAGAAGGGTCACTAATAGTCACTGTCATGGCGAACACTGCTCAAGGCCTGTGGAGGTGTGGGTGTGGTTTTGGGGAAGAAGTGGAGGGCATTAGAGGCCAAACCAGGAAATGAGAAAGCACTTCCCATTCAGAGTTCAACACTACCTACTGACATCATGTGAAGTCTGATGGGGACGGGGGTCAGCTATGAGACTACTTCTAATTCAAATGAAGGAGAAAGAATATTCAAAGTTTTTTTTTTTAAAAAAATAGTAGAAAATACCATGGAATATTCCTATATACTTTGTGAATATATGTCTCTATGAATGGTTTACTAAAGAAGCCGACTGGCCGGTAGATAAACAGAATAAGGTTGGGGGGGGGGAGTGCCAAACTGAGGATGCTGGGAAGAAGGAGGGTGTAGTCTGGACTAGCAAGTAGACACAGAGAGAAGCAAGATGAGAATGCCATACTGAGAAAAAGTACCAAGCCACGTGGCAAAGCATAGACAAGAAATAAGGGTTAATTTAAATGTGAGAGTTAGGTAGTAACAAGCCTGAGCTATTGGCTGAGCATTTATCATTAATATTAAGCCTCTGTGTGGTTACTTGTGGGACAGAAACTTCTGCCTACAAAATGTCACCTTGGTGTTCATTCTAAACCTCACAATAGTTTTAATGCAAGTAAAATTCTATATTGTTTCATAATTTACAAAAAGATTTCATGTGTTACTTGAAGCCATCAGAAATAACTCATCCAAGCAGCTTTCTTCAACTGCTGGACTTCCCTGAAACTTTAAACTACACAAAAATGAAAATGGCCATTTGCCCAAGAAATTATGAGAAATAACTGTTCGAATAATCCCTGTTGGCTGAGTCTGGTGGTGAATGCTTGTATATCCCAGCATTTGTGAGGCAAAGTTAGAAGGGTCATGAGCTCCAGGTCAGCCTATGCTACATAGCGAATTTCACACCATCCTAGGCAACATAGGAAAACCCTGCCTCAAAATCTTTAATTAACACCTCCTGACAAGTGCCTCCATGTACCCAGTGCACTGGTTACATATCCAGGGTGGGGCAGTACAAGGACCCAGATTACAGAGGCATGAAGATCTCAGAGCCAGTCCCCCGCTCTGTCAGATGTGAGCCAGGATGCCCTTTGTGTTCCCATTTATAATGTAGACATGGGGTATCACCCTCTTCCACGGGGAATCACATCACATAGCACATGTTCACAGCTGGCACCCCACCAGTAGATAAGCCGTAGGTAGCCCCTCCCATTAACGTCTCACTGTCAACCTCCCTGGAACTCAACTTCCAATGACTAAGTAGCATCGTAGAGTTTCTTTGAGAGGTATTTGGAACATTACATTTTTCATAAAATCATCTATTTACCCTTGGTCCAATTAATCTAATTAGCTTAATTGGCTTAGAACTAATTAGTTACTGGTTAACAGAGTATTTTACAAATTTAAACCGATTTAAAGGGCGAGGAAATGTAGCTCAGAGGCACAGTGCCTGCCTGGCATGTGCGAGACACTGTGCTCAGTCCCTGTACCACCACTGTTAGGCCTCAAACTTGGGACAAATGGCCGAGGTGCCCTTTTAAATCAAAGTGGATGCGGGGCTGGCTGCCAGGTTCTCCCTGCATCCCTCAGTCTCTACCTGTTACAGGACCTTCTTGGCTGGCATACCCTGCCCCCTACCCTGAACTCTCTAGCCTAGGTATTGGGCTGGGCTTCCCTCCCCCATGTCCTCTGACCCCTATATAACTCAGCCTTTTGGGGGAGACCAGTCTTTTGGCCAGTCTCTTGGCCCAGGCCTCCCCTCTTGGTCAGGGGCTCTTTTCCCCTCTGGCCATGTTCATTCTGGACTCTCCCAGGTGTCCTTGCCTCTGCCTATGCTCTCCCTTTTATCTACAATAAACCTTCTCCTCTTTCAGAGGACCTAGGTTCAATTCCCATCACCCATGTGGTAGTTCACAACCATCTCTAATTCTAGCTCCAGGGGATCTGATGCCTTCTTATGGCCTACTCAGGCACAGACACACATATGGTGCACATATATGCACAGGGGCAAAACACTCAATATACATTAAATAAAATAATCTAAGTTTTAAAATACCTAGAAGAAATGCATTCAGATTAAAAGGAACTCAGCCTTAAGATACAGCTTAGTGGTAGAGCGCCTATCTAGGAGAGGCGAGGGAGGGGAGAGAAGAGGAGAGAGAGAAGGAAAGGAGAAATGAGGAGGAAGAAGATATAAAAACCCTATTCATGACCCTGTTGCCTAGATGGATTCAGCTTAACAAATATTTGTGGAAACCAGTCTTCTAGTCTCTGGATTAGATTATTTGCAGGCTTTTTGAAAGGAAGATAATAAGTTAATCCTACTCAGTTTGTTTATTGGTTCATTTGTGTTCCTTAAAAAATACTTTTTTAATGTTATTGCATATAGGTGTTTAGCCTGCATGTATGTCTGCACATCACATGAGTGCCTGGTACCCACAGGCCAGAAGAGGGCATAGGATCCCCTAGAATTGGAGTTACAGAAGGTTGTGAGCTGCCATGTTGGTGCTGAGAATTGAACACATGTCCTCAGTGCTCTTAACCACTGAGCCATTTTGATACCATTGGTTCATTTGTTTTTGAGACAGGGTTCAAACATCAGTCTTCCTGCCCTCACCTCCTCAGTGCTGGGATTACTGGCATGGAGCATAATACCCAGCATGCTGTTCTGTTTGATAGTTATTTTAACAGCTAAGACATGAAAATGGGGTTAAATTCCTTGCTGTGTGTGTGTGACGGTTATGACCAGATCATGAGCTTGTCGTGGAGGGCTTTGTGTATTATGCTAAGGAATCTAAAGTGTACCATGAAGGCAGAGGAAGCTAGTAATGAGTATAAACAGACAGAAGAGGTTGAGGAATAGCATACATGGGCTTAAGGGGTGAGGAGGTAGACTGTGAGGCATGGTGAGGCTGGTCCCAAGAACTCAGTGGTACCCAGAAAAAGAAGAGGGAGGACTTGAGAAACAGCCTCCTTGCTATCCATCCAATCCATCCCTCACATGGAATCAGGGACTTATAGTGAGTCTTCTGGGGCTTCCTTTTCAGACTCACCTGCTCACAAAGAACTGAGCTCTTAGAGAGGAAAAATAGCTGAAGCAAGATGTGCCCTGGGGGTTGGGGTGGGGGGGTCTGGGAATGGGCAGATGAGGCTAATTCTTCGACACACTCTGGTGAAGACAGATAATGAGGAGTGTCTAGAGTTCAAAGAAGCCTGTGGGGATAGAGATGTTGGAGACATGGAGGACAGAGATGATGGAGACAGAGGATAGAGATGATGGAGACAGGGAATAGAGATGATGGAGACACAGGGGATAGAGATGATGGAGACAGGGAATAGAGATGATGGAGACACAGTGAATAGAGATGATGGAGACACAGAGGATAGAGATGATGGAGACACAGAAGCCGGGCTGCTCACTGCTTACAGAAGAATAGCTAATAATCTCTCTCTTTCTCTCTCTCTCTCTCTCTCTCTGAGACTGTTTTTATTATGATTATTAGCTTCAGTCTTAGGTACAAAAGAAATGAAAAAGTAAGTCATTTGCTCCTCCAGAAACATCCAACAAATTGAGGTAGAGGGAGCTTCTGTGGACCTAGAGAAATGCAAATAATAAATAGAAGTGTGCCCATATCTGAAAACTCTTCAAAGGGAATTAGATCAGGCCAGCCTGGGGGACTGGCAACCAGAGCAATCTTTCAGAGACAGAAAGGCAAGACTTCGGAGAGCAATCCAGACTGCGGCCATCCTCTACCCTGTAAGAGAGAACCAGACTCCGGAAGTGGTTTAGCAGTCATCACCCTAAAGGTGTGGATGCTGTCTAAAACAAACACAACTGGGGCGTGACTCCAGGGTCCTGTGCCTGTCCCCTCACTGTGTTGGGTAGTTGTGTGTGTAGAAAGCAGCCTGTTTGCTCCTTTAGCTCAAAGATCTTCCAGCCAGGGGGAAACCTCGAGGAGTTTAATCTGTGGAATCTGTATCCCAGGGTCATTTAGGATAATAAGATCCTAGACTTTCAGGAATCGGTGGGAGAGGCGAGTGCCTTTTGCCCATGGAAAGGATTTGTTGTGTAGATCGTTTTTTGAAGATGCCTCCTCTCCATCTTTTCTTCTGCACAGTGACCTCCATGCTTGCATCCGGATGTGGGGGCCACAGGCTTGACACACTCCTTCCTTCTCATCACCACAGCCTCAGATTTGAAAAGACAGGGATGCTTCAACTTTGATTGTCTGGAAGCCAGGCTTAGAATCCTGTGCCACCTCCAGCCATGTCCTGAGGCTGCTCTATCCAGCATGAGAAAGCCACATGGACAGGTCATCTGTCGGCTCTCTGGCCAGAGGTCCTGAGCATCAAGACCTACCAGACCATGTGCCAGACCCGTGACTGGATCCTCCAGCCACAAAGTGTCCTCGGTCTACCAGGCCACTCCCAGCTTCTGAGTCTCCGCAGGTGAGACCTCAGACGCTGTGTGTACAGGCAGGCTGTTCACACTGTGTCCTTTCCAAGCCTGAAATTGCAGAAAATCTGGGTATAAATTGGAGGTGTTTTATTAGACACTAACCAGAAGAGCCATGTGGCCACTACACAGGAGCATCTGTGGAACTTGGAACTATTTAAGCAAAGCCCAGAGAAACTCGCATAAAATATTTACGGTATAGCAAACAAAACAAGAAAGAATTGGGACTATCGAGACACATACAGGGAATACTGATTGGGATCAAGGCAGGGCAGTGATCCTTTGAATTGGGCCTAGGGTAGAGGCTAGGTTTAACTAGAAAATGCCTTTTGAGTGAGAATATCCAGCTCAGGGTGAGAGCTGACACGATTTGTTTGGACAGCAGTTGCTTTTGGCCGACCTATAAGACATTGACTTCATTCCTCTCCTTGTGATTAGAAAACAACAACAAGAAAACCTATGTTTGAAAAACAAACGTCTGACCCAGAAAAGAACAAAGACGAGGAAGGCGGTCCAATAAGGGCACCAGCCTTCCATATGGCGGGCGCAGGAAGGAGGCCAAGTGTAGAGCTTAATTAAACCGTCAGGCCACTAGCACCCAGCCGAGCCTTCCTTCGGGAGAGCACAGAGCAGAGCACAGGAGGCCCATCTCCAGCCTCAGAGCTGATGTGAAATGCCTGGAGAAGCACAGAACATAAATGGAACCCGAGCCTGGAAGGTCCCTGACTCTGAGGGCACCGGGCAGTCACATAATGCAGACACACATGCAGGCAAAACACCCCCACACACAAATAAAAGTAAATAAATGTTTAAAAGCCAAAACCTAAGTAAAAGTAAAATCTGGAATGGTAAGCTGAGGCTGGAGTCTGACTTGGAGAAAGCTGTATCAGTCCAACAAGAAAAACACCTCATCTCTTGGTTTTAACAGACATGACTGTATGCAGCTTGAAAGATTAAAGGTTGAGGGATGCCAAGTGGAGAGGTGCACCAAAGATCCTCTTATGAGGCTAGATCCCTCAGCGGAAAATTCCAATTCAAACACAACAGTTAAATACAGAGAATCCCACTGCTCTGAGGAGCGCAGCAAGTAGAGGGGAATATATTAACCTCGGTGGTGGGCAGAGAGAAAAGTGTCTGCATGGAAGCTGAAGCTGACATGGGAGTGTGGACAAAATACAGACTGTCCATAAAATGATAACAAGAAGAAATGCCAGGCCAATCGTTTAAATGTACCCGAGCTCGTTCTGCACCAAAGCACCGGTGGGTTTTGTTTTGTTTAGAATTTATTTATTTTTATTTTATGTGCATTAGTGTATGTATGTCTGTGTGAGGGTGTTGAGCACCCTGGAACTGGAATTACAGACAGGTGTGAGCTGCCATGTGGGTGCTGGGAATCGAACCTGGGTCCTCTGGAAGAGCATTCAGTGCTCTTAACCGCTGAACCATCTCTCCAGCCCTTGTTTTTTTGTTTTGTTTTGTTTTGTTTTGTTTTGTTTTGTTTTTTAGGCAGGCTCTCCCGAGGCAGCCCTAGGCATCCTGGAACTGCCTATGTAGACCAGGCTGCCTCTGCCCCCCAAGTGCTGGGACTAAATGTGTACGCCACCACACCAGCAGATCTGTGTTTGAGAATGTACCTGTGTAGTGCTGGAGAGATGGCTCAGCAGTTAAGAGAACAGGCTGCTCTTCCACAGGACCCTAGTTCAATTCCCAGCCCCATGTGGCTACTCACAGCTGTCTGTATTTCCAGTCCCAGGGAATCCAATGCCCTCTCCTGGCCTCTGTGGGCACCAGCCATGCAGGTGGTACAGACATCCGCACACAGGCAAAATTCTTATATACAGTTTTTTAAAATCAAGTAGAAACATGCAAAGATCTTTAAAATCTATGCTTATATCCTACATTTCAACAAAACAAAGTCTCAGGGAAAAAAATCATTAAACATTAGTTCACGATGGAAAATTGCAAAGCGCACAAACCATCTGGGGTGGCACACACCTAGAGCTCTAATTCTTAGGAAGCACAGAAAGGAAGGTGGAAGGTTCAAGGCCAGCCTGGGTTACACAGGCAAACCCAGCCTCAAAAACAGAAAGTCATAAAACAAGACACCCAGAGAGAAACAGCAAACACAGTAAACAACAGAGGGACGGAGGCCACGGGAACCAGCTGTAAAATGTATATGCTTATTGGAAAGGAAAAGTCTTGTGAAGCCCTGGTTTGATCCCCAAAATAAAAAACAAAACAAAACAGGAAAATATGAAGAAGATGAATAAATAGTTAAAATTAAAGCTCCTCCCCTGCAGGGGTCAGTGTTGAGGTCCTAATGAGGGGGCAGGACTCCTGCCCCTGCCAACTCACAGAAGCCCAGGGACAAACCTTGGACTTCTGCCACCAACTGGCAATAAACAACACGGCTTTGGGTCACCAGCCTGTCAGGAGGATGAGCCAGAATCTCACAATACCTAAACGTCCAGGCCCAACAGAAAGTCTTTCCTTCTACTAAAAACTAGGGAAAACGCAACTTGCATGGACAAGACACCAAATTTGAGGTGGCAAGCGTGTCGGAATCATCTGGTAAATAAGGATTTTTAAAGTAGTCATAACCATGTTTTTGGCAGTTAGTTATGAACATACTTGAAAGGAATTAAAAAATTCTCAGCAAAAAATACAAGGTATAAAGAGAAGTGGAGGGCTGAGGAAACGGCTTTCCTAACCAGCATGAGGACTGGCGTTTCATCCACAGATCCCACATAAAACGTCAGACATGCTGGTACACTTAGAATCCCAATGCTGGGGAGGCAGAGACAGGAAGATCCTTGGGCTCTCTGTCAGTCTAGACAATTTAGAGACCTCGAGGCCAGTGAGAGACCCTGCCTCAAAAACACTAGGTTGACAGAGCTGAAGAACCACACTGGGAGGCTGACCTCTGGCCTCCACACACAACACACATGGGCACCTGAACATGTGTGTACACACACAACATAAACAAAATTTTTTAAAAAATGATTCAGAAACTTTAACAGTAAAAATATAAGGACCCAAATAAGAACTCAATGGATGGGCTGAGCAGCAGAGATGAGAATTCAGAGTGAGGAATCACTGAATTTGAAGATAAAATAATAGAATGTACCCTATCTTTTTTCTTTCTTTCTATTTTGAGACATGGTTTCTCTGGGTTAGCCCTGGCTGTCCTGCAACTCACTCTGTAGACCAGGCTGGTCTCAAACTCGCAGAGATCTGCCTGCCTCTGCCTCCCAAGTGCTAGGATTAAAGGCGTGTGCCAGCATACCAGGCCAAAAGTACCTTATCTTAGCACTAGAAAATAGAAATAGGAAGGGGGGAGGGAGGGAGAAGGGAGGACACAGGAAGGGAGGGGAGGAAGGCAGGAGATGAGGGGGCAAAGAACAGCATGGGGAAGAAAAAGTAAAATAAGGATGCCCTTAGGTTCACTCACACTGGAAGTCCACAGCAATTTAGAAAGGTGTATAATAACACAGAAAGCAACAACTAGCAGGGCCACATGCCAAGATGTCCTCAGAAATACAGCAGAAAACTCAAGAACAGAACTCTGAAAACATTCAAGGAAAGCAAAAAAGGAAAAAGAGAAAAAAATTTAAAAGACCAAACAAAAAATTGAAAACAGTAGACACGAACCCTGCCCTCCAACAACAGCATTAAATATAAGTGGTTTAATAGCCAATGAAAATGAGCTGAGAGGCTGAAAAGCACTCAATGGACGTCCATACAAAGGACACCAGCCGCTGACGTCTGAGCAGCTTTGATGGGTCTTAAGAGCATTGTCCTGAGAGAGAAAAGCCATTTCAAAGGTTGCATGGGATGCCCAGCATATCAACACAGCATTCTTGAAATAAAAAGACTGCCGTGGGCGGATTAATGGTTTCCAGGGCACAGGTGAGGGTAAGAGTGGTGGATGTGGCTGGTGAACAGCAGCAGGAGGGCTGTCTGGGGCTTTAACAGTCCTAGCTCTTGGTCTGGGTGGTAGTTACAGATCTACATGTGATATGTTCACAAACTCCAAATGTCCGTTTCTTGGTTTTGATTTTGTTAATGTTTCGGTTTCACTGGGGCAAACTAGACGAAGTGTCTGCGAAGCCTCTTGGTATTGTCCTTGTAATTTTTTAATCTTGACAAAAATAACAGTTTTTGTTTATTCTTTGAAAATTTCATACACATACACAACTTCTCCTGCCCTCACAGCATATCTCCCTCCCAACTTCGTGCCACTTAAAAAAAAACCAAAAAACAAAAAATAAACTACTGAGTCCAACTCATGCTGACCTTATGCACAACATATGGAACTATGAGCCTAAAGTCTTTTCTATCTAAAGCTAATGGGCAAGTTAATAGGCATCAAAAAGAAGAAAGGGAGACACACAAACATCCATCTGGAGACCTGCCAAGAGATCCCCATGGGTCACATTTGTATCAGTGCTTTTAACAGACACACTGTGCGGCCGGGCTATTCTCAAACTCCAGGCTGAAATGATGTCAACCTTCTGGACAGCTGAGAGGACGGACATGTGTGCTCCTGTGCCAAGCACACGAGAACACTTTGCAAAAGGGAATTATTTGTATTTTAAACTGTTAAAGATTATACATACACACATATACATCCAGTGTGTGTGTGTGTGTGTGTGTGTGTGTGTGTGTGTGTGTGTGTGTGTGTGTGTGTGCAGTAGGATGGCTCAGTGGGTAAGGTACTTGCTGCCAAGCCAGGCGATCTGAGTTCAACGCCTGGTTCTCCACCGTAAGAGGAAAGCACTTCCTCCTGCCCATGCCTGTAGTCCCATTGACTTAGAAGACTTAGCAGACCAAGGCCAGCACGGCAACATGGGAAGACACATTTCAAAATAATTTAATAATAATGATGGTGGTAAAAATAACGAGAGGAAACCCAACACCCAGAAGATTTCTTTGGAAAATAATGTACCACAAACTTATTAAGGTTTCTCAAAATAAAAACACCCAGATCCCCAGAACAGAGTTGGTTCACAATGGTCAAGCATCCTCTTTGACACCAAATCTGTCAACCACAAAAGGTCCAGAGATTTGTTTTCCAGCTCTGAGGCTGTGCTCCTCTGCTTCACCCTAGTAGGACTGTCCCTCACCCCTCACCCCATCAGCCTTCACACACACACACATCCTCTGTGATTTCTAGGGGAGGCGGTGGGTCTGCGCTGATCAAAATACAGCTAATACACAATTATAAGAACACTGGCAAAAGATGAGGTCGGCTGCCATCCCACAGCTGTGTGAGCAAGGGCTCTGTGCACACAGTGAGCTTTTACTGTTTTCTTTTCTTTCCTCCCTCTTTTCTGATGATTCTATTTGCTTTTAGCCTAGGGTAGTCTCAAACTCATAATCCTCCTGCCTCTGCCTCTTGGGTGCACTGTTGTGTTTGGCTCTGATCTTACCAATGTCTCCTTTATAGCCTGTTTTTTGTTGTTGTTGGTGGTGGTGGTGGTTTTTTGTTTTGTTTTGTATTTTTGGTTTTTCGAGACAGGGTTTCTCTGTGTAGTTTTGGAGCCTGTCCTGGATCTTGCTCTGTAGACCAGGCTGGCCTCAAACTCACAGAGATCTGCCTGGCTCTGCCTCCTGAGTGCTGAGATTAAAGGCATGGGCCACCACCGCCTGGCCCTGTTTTTTTTTTTTTTTGTTTTGTTTGTTTGTTTGTTTGTTTTTAACGACCATGGCAATCTGGTACCACGATCATTACCCTTTACTGAGTTACCGAGTGCTCTAGAAATGTTATGTTGAACACTGCATTTGTAATACAATTTTGTCTTCACACCATCCATGAGGTGGAGATTCCCACCTTACAGATGAAGTAACTGAGGTCTAAGAAACTTATTTGTCCTTTCCCGGTGCTCCTCTGTGACCACTGCCAAATAGCTTTTCACATCTGCAGTTATTTTCCCTTGTTTGGGTCTTTCTTTTGGAGAATTCATTATGAAAAATGGAGATAGGAAATGTTCTCCCTAGCTAATTATTTTGGCAAATTACACATTTCTCCAATTGCATATGACTGAGCTGTAAGTACACTCTCGCAGTGTCAAACACTTACTCTTCATTAACATTTAATTCAGGTAACAGTCAGGGAATACCCCACACACTAGAATAAAATATCCAAGAACATGGGGCTGAGCTCCTGTTTCCTTCCCCTCTGTGGAACCTGATTTCACATTTGAAAAGGTACCAGTTCCCCAACCTTCCTTAAGACTTTCCTATTCACTTCGCGGAACTGCTCCAGAACCCTTTAATGGGCTGAAGGAGAGAAGTGAGCTTAGCCAAGAGTCAGGAACATAGAGAAAGAGAGGCTGGGAATTTCACCAGCATCTGGTGTGAGGCAAGGAGAGCGATACAGCGTGTGCTCACATTTGCCGCTGAATCTTCCTATGAAAGCAGACTGCTCCAAACTTGTGAACAAAAATAGGCAAAACAGAGTGGCTGCTCCTAGGAACTTAAGCTTCATGGTCCTTAAAATGACTGGTGAACGGCCAGCACCGCTGCCCAGGAGTCCCACCACCCCCTTCCCGCCTTTCCAGTTTGAAGTATCAGGTTCTACTGGTATGCACTTTTTTCTTTTCCTTTTGTGTTTCTGTTTGTACAATGTTCTTACAATGTGGCTCAGGGTGGCCTTGAACTCATGATCCTCCTGCCTTGGATTCCAAAGTGCTGGGCATACAGGATGAGCCACCACTTGCAGCCTGTGGAGGTTCTTACATCTAACTTACTCCGTAGTATTCGCCACCGAAGGAAAAGCAGCAAGCTCTCCCTTGCCTCCCCTAACCCAGAGCCTGGCTCTTCCCTCTCAAGAAAGGAATCCCGTTTGCCCCCACTATCCACAGCACTGACGGGGGGGGGGGGGGGGGGGGGGGGGGGCAGTGGGGCTTATCTAGAAGCTGTACAAGACCACCCTTGACAGGTCCTGTGAAGCCACTGCTTACGCAGCATGTGGACCATAGAAAGTGCTGTTACAGGGTACAGAGTCAGGGAAAGGAAAAGGAAGAGCAGAGAGGGGAGGAAAAGGGAGGGGAGGGAGAGAAGGGAGGGGGGGGGGGAGGGAGGGGGGGAGAGGAGGGAGGGGAGGGGGGGAGGGAGGGGGGGAGAGGAGGGAGGGGAGGGAGGGAGCAATTCGGAATCAAAACAAAATCAATTAACTATTAAGGAAAGGTATTTGTGAAAAACACATTATACATTATATATATATATATATAATTATATATAATGTATACACAAATTATTTGATGCACAGGTAATTTATAAGGCAGAATGTGAAGTATACCCCTGTAATCCCAGCCCTTGAGGTACAGGCAGAACAGACAAGGGGTGCAGGCCAGCTCGGACTGCAGAGCCAGACCCCTCAGAAAGGCAAGAGGAGGTGAGAGGGAGGGACAGAATGGAGGGGGAGAGGGAGGAGGAAGGGGGTTGGGGCACAGGGAAGCCTTAGATCAGGAAGGGAGGACGTGGGACCTACAGACACAGAACAGCATGGGAAGAAGCTAGGAGATGGTGGAGCTGGCATTTTTAGCTAAAATGAAAGGCCGAGTGAAAACAGAAACTTAAGAGGAAGACAAAATAAGCTTAAAGTCCAAATGTTGGTGGTTTTATGCATGATCGTGGTTAGGGGAACCGAGCAGGGAAAGGGGTAAAGGGAGAAATGTATGTAGATCTAAGCCTGAGGAGACTGGCTAGTTGTCTCCCCAGCTTCCTCCTTTCCTGTCTTTTCTCTCCCTCCTTCTCCCTCCCTCTCTCTCTCTCTCTCTCTCTCTCTCTCTCTCTCTCTCTCTCTCTCTCCCTTTTTGGTTTTTTTTGAGACAGGGTTTCTGTGTAGCCTTGGCTATCCTGGAACTCTGTAGACCAGGCTGGCCTCTAACTCACAGATATCTGCCTACCTCGGCCTCCCAAGTGCTGGGATTAAAGGCGTGCACCACTTCTGCCCAGCTAACATCCAAGATACTGTTAATTTTTTTTTTCCAGAGGGTAAAAAAATTTGCTGGCTGTGCATGGCTGATTCTCCAGCACACCTTGCTCCTGGAATCCAGGGATGTGTTGTTTTAACTGCCTGTTAACAGGTTATCTGTTAGCACTTCACTTGACTTAAAGGCAGTGGTCCTCTTATTTTTTCTTTTCTATTATCTTAATCATCAGGTATAGCTGGCATCAATTTCTACACTCAACTGGCTAAAACAGCCACAGAAGCAAAAGGCTTGCTACGTAAAAACCCTCCCTGGTTTCAGAATCCACAAAGGAGATGGGTTCCTGGATTCTGCCAGAATTATTCTGTTCACAAGCACCTTGAAAGCACAGAAGCTGGGGTTATATGCTCATAGAGATTGTTTTTCTCCCCTTACCTGACAAGGTAGTACACACCAGCACTTGGTTAACTGAAGCATAAGAATCACAAGTTCAAGGCCAACCTGAGCTATATAGCAAGATTCTGTCTAAAACACATAAATAGTGGCGCACGCCTTTAATCCCAGCACTCGGGAGGCAGAGCCAGGCGGATCTCTGTGAGTTCGAGGCCAGCCTGGACTACCAAGTGAGTTCCAGGAAAGGCGCAAAGCTACACAGAGAAACCCTGTCTCGAGAAAAAAAAAAAAAAAAAAAAACACACATAAATAAAAGACATTTTCCCCCCTGGAGTTTATAACCCTTGTTATGTTAGTATGGATGATTTAATCATAGCTCTTCTTAAAATATGAGCCAACTGATACTGGGCTAATATCAATTTATAAAATTTAACTTATATAAATACTTACTCATTAAATTCATTTAGGTAATATGGGCATTAAAATGTGACTTCAAAACATTGATAAATGCAAATTTTGATATATCAATGGTAATAAACCCAGTAGCTACTTTAAGCAAACAGGAAGGCAGAAACCCTGAAATTTCTAACAGATTAAGTAACACCAAAAGGTAACAGAACCAGAACGATCCCAATGTCTGTGGCCTTTATACCCAGCACCATGCTTACCTTTAGCATAGAATATAGTCAAAAGAAAACAGCCAGCGTGGAGCTAAGCCCATAGCCCCCCGAGGGTGAAGTGCTGTGTTAAGCCCCTGATGAGTGTCTTAGATCAGACACAAACACTGGAATAGACCATTTCCCACCTGAGAGCTAAGAGTTAACTACAAACAATCCAC